TCAATTCCGCTCAGAGGCAAAAGCAGCCACAGACCGTTAGTAACCTGACGACCCGGTAAGACTTCGTTTGCAGAAGCAGGAGGTGGGTTGTAGGCTGCTGAGCCCTGGTCATAGCTGGTTGGTGCGGCCACGACGGCCACGCCCCCTTCCCTCAGACCCCGTGGCTGTCTCCCGTACAGCGTCCTCCGTCTGTGGCTGGGCCGCCTCCTGTCTGTCTCTCTCTGAGACGTCGCGTCGCGCTCACGGGTTGATGCTCCTCTGTATCCTGTTTCATGTCCCGCTTGCATCGTCCCATCCACCTGAGCCCTTCCTCAGCCGCCCGCTTCCTCTCTCCTCTGGGGTCTCCAATGGGAGCTCGCACCAGCGGCTGCTCTGCTCCTTAGCCGTCTGCTTTCTCCCAAACCTCTGCTCTCGGGCTCCCGCCACTCGCCCCCCCGCCCGCTTCTCCCCCCAGGAAGCTGCTCCTCTCCAGGTAGCTCAGGCCTCTGCGGGCACCTCAGGGGCTCATGGGGAGGCTGGTGGGGCTGAGCCGCAAATGACCTTTGTTCCTGCATTCATAGCCCTCCCAGAGGGGAGCGGCTCCGGGCACCTGGCGGGCGGGCGTGCCCTCTGCACACCCCTGGGTGGCTGTGGGGGTGAGCTGCGGGCTGGCTTCCCCCCGCCTTCGTCCCTGCCAGCTCGCCTTCTGAGAAGAGTTGATCCGCTGGGTCCGTGCTTTCTCCTTCCTCTCTTCTCCTTAAATGGAAGCAGCAGCAGCTGCTGGCGCTGGGCTGGGCCGCCCGGCCCTGCAGAGGCCGGTCCCAGGGGCTCTGAATGCTGAGGAGGCTGAGGGCTCAGGCCGAGGGCCGGCCCATTGCCACCCGCGTCCCCGCGTCCCCGCGTCCTGGCGCCGAGGTGCCTGAGACTCTCACCGCCGGACCCACCGGGACCTGGGACGTTGCAGGGGGCTCTGTCTTAACAGGGAGTTGCCTTAAACCCACAGCAGACGGTCTGTCAGGCCTCACTCAGGCCCCCCCTGTGCAGCGCCGCTCAGCGTGAGTCAGGGCTCAGGGCGGCGGTTCATCCTCCTGCTTTAACTTTCAATTGGCTAAAAAGTGTCTTTTTAGCTGGACTATGGCATCAGGTGAGCTGAACTCAGGCTTCCTCCCAGGGCCGGGGCCCCCTCCCCCAGGAGAGGGAGGGACAGGTCATTCGAGGTCCTCGGTCAGGCCCTCCCTGGAGGGGGCGGGGAGTGGGGCTCACAGTGAGGCTGCCAGCCTGCTTGCAGCCGCCTCAGGGGGGTGAGCTCTCTGCTGCTCCCACAGCCACCGGGGTCAGGGGGACCCCAGGACCCCATCCGGTCTCTGCAGCTCAGAGCAGTCCGGCCCCAGGGGCCCCAGGAGTCAGCACTCACGGCCCAGGGCAGCTGCTGTTGTCTATTGTTCTGCCTGGAGGGGCAGAAGGGCAGGGGCTGCGGGAGCCTTTCCCTCCAGGAAGAGGCTGTTCAGGAAAACGCCTGCACACGGGGTCCTGGGGCTCCCGGCCCAGCCTCCTCAGGCAGAGGCCCTGGGCTGGGACTGTGTGTTCCTCATGCGGCCGGAGAGCAAGGACCCTGAGGACTCTCTGGGGCAGGGCCACTGGGCGGGGGGCTCCCCCCTCAGCATCCGTCTCCAGGGATGCCGCTCTGGGGGGGACAAGGCAGGATGCACAGAGGGTGTGCGAGGCCACTGGTGTGTGTGTGTGGGGGGGGGGGGAGTGACGAGGGTCCCTAACCCTAGCCCTGTGTCCTTCCAGCCTGTCTGTGACTCTTCTCAGAATGGTTTTCCCTGTGGCTCTAGCCAGGCACCTTCTGTTTCCAGTGAAAAACCCCACAAATTCAAATTGACTTAAAGAGAAGAGGGAGCCCGGGCCGGTTAGCTCAGTGGATAGAGCGTCGGCCTGCAGACTGAAGGGTCCTGGGTTGGATTCCTGGTCAGGGCCCAGGCCCAGGTTGTGGGCTCGACCCCCAGTGGGGGGTGTGCAGGAGGCAGCCGGTCCATGATTCTCTCTCATCATTGATGTCTGTATCTCTGTCCCTCTCCCTTCCTCTCTGAAATCAATAAAAATGTATTTTGATAAAATAAAGCCCCCATGTCAGGTGTGTGCGTGTTCGTTAGACACCGTGGCTTCCCCGTGTGCCTCAGGGATATTTACGTGGAGTGAAATGTCGCAGAAAGATGCCCAGGTCCCGGGTGATAGTAGCTGATGCCGCGAGAACCTTCAAATCCTTCTCCGATTGCTGTTGTGAATAGAAACCTGCAAGGCTTTAAAGGGCCGATTTAAAGGCAAAATTATAAATGATGGATTGCAGAGTCAACACGCAGGCGCTTTAATTATTAACGGAGCAGGACTCAGACGAGCCGTGCGGCCTCCAAAGGCGCCTTTCGCACTGAGACTAGCGGGGGAGGAGGAGACACTGAGAAGCAAGGGGCTGTGGCACACAGACGTGCACATAGGCACACACATATGCATGCCTGTGTTTACATGTTTGCACACACGTGCACAGAGAGGAGAGGGAGCCAATACTCAGAGACACAGAGACAGACAGACAGACACTTGGGTGAGGACACAGCAGATTCTGTGGCCCCCGGAAGGGTCTGGTCCAGGCCTCAGCTGACCTCGGCCTCCCCGGACCCCCTGAGGGTCCCCTTGGTCAGATCGGCCGGATGGCTCGGTGGTTGTCGCTGATGGCGTTGTGGGAAGAGTGCGCTGTAAACGTGTGAAGTACACGCGTGCTCCTTTTCTCTGCACAGGAATGTCACGTACGACTCGTTTGGAAAAATAGTTCCGTCGCTGACAATGGTTGGAAGCCACTCGTGTGGTGAGAGGCCAGTTTCAGAGGCTCCCGGGGATTCCTAGCCAGACGGGCTCGGGCGCTGCCCTGTGCCTCGGGGCCGGGCCATCATCTGTGAAATGGGCCTAACCCAGCGCCGGGTTCGAACAGAAAGGGCGACACGAGGGTTATTCTAACGCTTGTCATGCTGGGCCTGGGAGCCTCCCTGTTTCGTGTCTGGCCATTAAGGGCGGATGGTCTCCTTACGCTGTGTTTACATGTACTGATACGGATGTTTCATTGTGTTCGCGTGTTTACTCACACAGAGAACAGTGTGCGCGTGTGTTTGCGTGTTTACTTACATAGAACCGTGCACGTATGTTTGTGTGTTTACTTGCACAGAACAGTGCGTGTGTTCTGGTAAACATGTTTCCCGTCGTTTAGAGACGGGGTAGCGGACTGTCCTGGCAGGTCTCTCTGTCGGATGCATCTTCATAACAAATTCAGTGAATCTCCTTCTTTCCTTTGGAAAGTGTGTGGAGGGGAGCAGGCGCGCTCCGTGTCCTGTAGTTTCCTGTTGTAGAAAAGCCAGGAGCAGCCGCCGGGAGCCGCCGGGAGCCGCCGGGAGCCGCTGGGAGCCGGGCTGTAAGGGGCTCTTCTTTGTTCCGTGCGGGCAGGCGCTGTGGGGTGGACGGCAGCAGTCCCTGCTCCCAGGAGTGTGCGCAGCCGGGACACTGGGGGGGGGGGGAGGGGCGAGGAGCTAATTGAACAGCTCCCCCCCCCCCCATCTCCTCTAATTAACTTGCTGGTGGGAGAGGGTGTGGAAATGTGCACCAGGTAGGCAGCTCGGGGGGAATGCCGGACCATGGGCCGCGGTAGCCCTTGGGGTCTTGGTGCAGAATCACTAGTTCCTGGTGAACAGGCAGGAACCCCACAGGGGCTGGGGGTGCGCCTCTGCAGGCCTTGCCTCCCGTGCCGGGCGGTGAATGGCGGTGGTGCATGGAGTCCCCTTGAGCAGGTGTGCGGCTGGGAGACCTCCGTGGGATTCCGCAGCTCGAACCCGAGCGCATCAGCTTGGCTGCGGGGAAGAGCAGGGCCCTTTGTGCTCCCAGCCGCACGTGGAGGGCGGGGGGCAGAAGGCCGGGTCCCCCCAGGGTCTCTGCCGGCCGCCCGAGAAGCCCACCGCATCCTCGCAGCTGACTTTTGTGGCGTCTTAAAGAGGTTTAGGTCCCAGAGACCCCGGCCAGGGAATTAGGTGGCTTGAGGGGTGGGGCCAGAGGTAATCCTTGGTGAGATGGCTCGACCTCCTGGGGGCTGTGGGCCCCGTGCAGTGGGCCTGGTGGCTGTGGGCGGCGGTGGCCGTGGGCAGTGGTGGCTGTGGGTGACGGTGGCTGTGGGCCCGGTGGCTGTGGGCAGTGGTGGCCGTGGGCGGAGGTGGCCGTGGGCGGTGGTGGCCATGGTCCCGGTGGCTGTGGGCGGATGGCTGTGGGCGGAGGTGGCTGTGGGCGGAGGTGGCTGTGGGCGGCGGGGGCTGTGGGCGGCGGGGGCTGTGGGCGGCGGGTGCTGTGGGCGGTGGCTGTGGGCGGCAGCAGCGGGGACTCGGCCTGCCGGTCCTTCACGGAGGCCCCGGGAGGAGGCAGTTAGCGCCGTCATTTCCCCAGCATTTCCCCTGACGCGTGTGGTGTGGGGCCGGGCGACCCCGGGGCCATGAGGTGGTCCGCACTCTCACTCCTCCTGGCTCAGCCTGTGCCTGCCCTGAGCTTCACCCTGGGAAGCGGCCGCTGCAGACACGGGCGCCGGGACCCGAGCTGTCCGGAGCGATTCACTCTGCCCCTGACAGCCAGCCCTTCGCGGGGGCGTCCGTCTGCAGGAAGCGCTGTGGGCCCGTCGGGTTCGGTGAATGAGTCTTCCTCACGGAATTCCATAGTTTGCGGATTCGGCTCCTGGGATCCCGTCCACAGCGGCTCTGATGTGTCTGTCCATGTTGGGGTCCCGGGAAGGGTGTGTGCGGCTGGTGGGCGGAGCCAGGGTGCTCGGCGGGGTGGGTGGGGTGATAAGGGGCCCTCCCGGGAGCCTCGCTGCACGGCGCCCTTCCTCGCGTCGTCCCGAGCATGGCGCCGGCAGGGAGCCTGGTTCCCCGGGGCCCAGAGGCCGCCGTCACCCCGCGTCTGGCCCCGCTGACCTGTGTCTCCCCCTCTCTCTCCGTCAGGAGCTCTGACTCGGAAGAAGCCTTTGAGACCCCAGAGTCGACGACCCCTGTCAAGGCCCCCCCGGCCCCGCCCCCGCCGCCCCCCGAGGTCGTCCCGGAGCCTGAGGTCAGCGCGCCCCCCTCCCCGGAAGAACCAGGTAACCAGGGACCCGCACCCCAGGGAGACACGGGGACTCCTGCCGGGCGGGGCTGGGGTGCTGGGACCCCCCCGCAGCGGGGACGCTGGGCTCGGGGCTGTGGGTGTGAGTGGCGCTGAGGGCAGTGGCACTGCAGGTTCTGTGTTTACTGGGCGGGGTGTGCTAGGGCTTCTGGGTGCCTTCCACCTGCTTCACCTGCACCCGGAGTCGGGTCGAGGGGCGGCGGGTCCTGGGCGGCTCTGGTGCCGTGTCGGCTTCTGCTCTTTGTGTGTAAAAGGCTGGTCTGCACGGCCCAGTGACTCTGCAGGTTCTTTTAAAAAATGTTTTTATTGATTTAGAGCCGGGTGGGCAACCTTTTTGTGAGTGCGTGCCAAAACCAGCAAAATCTCTGACTCGAAATTCTTCTGCATGCCAACCCTAATTTTTTGAGAACATGTTAGGCCTACTTGATGTCTCTTAAGGTGTACGTATGTGAAGAACCTTGAAGAAATAATAAAATTCATTCGAGCGACAAAAACAAAGTATATGATGACGAAAAATACATTTATTTGTAGTCTTTTTAAAAACTTATTTAAATAGTTTATTTTTAGAGAGGAAGAGAAACATCCTTCCTAACATCCATGTAATACACTTATATTTTAATGTATACAGTACACTGACAGTCCGACAGAAAACTTTATGACTCCGTGTGATATTATCAGTGGGACTTTGGCTGCTGCCTCACTGATGACGGAGATTTTACATCAGGTTTATATTTCGTGACCTTCAGAGATGTGCACGGGCTACTACTTTCATCCGTCAGCTACTCCTATTACGAGCCTTAACAAAATTCATCACTGAGAACAAAGATTCACACGCGTATGTGGATGAAACCGAAACACTGGTCGGGTCTAGGAAGGCAGAGAGAGCTAAGGCAGAGGCATAGAAATGGCTCTTCCCCTCTCTCGTCTGTCCATGTCTATGGTCGTTAAGATAACTTGTTATGTAAAATTACTTATTTATCTAAGATGCACCTACACTGAATTTATCTGAAAAATAAAAAAGTCGATATTAAGAGAAAAATTGTAAACGGAAGATAATAAGAGAGGGTTTCGCGTGCCAGCAAGAGTTACTGGCGAGCCATGTTTGGCACGTGTGCCAGGGGTTGCCCACCCCTGATTTAGAGAGAAAAGGGGAGAGAGAGAGAGAAACATCAACGATGAGAGACACATTGATCGGCTGCCTCCTGCACGCCCCCTACTGGGGATCGAGCCCGCAACCTGGGCCGGTGCCCTGAGCGGGACTCGAACCCGGACCTCCTGGGTCATAGGTCGACGCTCAGACACTGAGCCGCCGGCCGGGCTGTTTGCTTGCTTCTTGCCCGTCTTCTCCCTGAAGAGCGTGACTCCCGGGAGCACAAGGGTTTTGGTGGTTTTGTTCCTCGTCGAGTCCCCGGCAGCCGGCACGGCGCCCGGTCCCGGCTGGGCCCCCGGTGAACGTTCGGATGAGTGAGTGGTCCGGGCTGTTCCGTCACCTGCCGTCTCCTGCTGACGGAGGAGGGCCCGGCGCAGGCCTGGCGGGCGTGGAGCCGGTCTGGGGGGCAGGAGCTGTGTCCCCGGTGGGCCAGGCCGGCGGCCCTGCCGTGGGCGCTCGGGGCGGGAGGTGGGAGTGTTCCCGCGTGTCGCGTCCTCAGGGGCTGCTCTGTCTGTGTCCTCAGGCGGCGCCGAGCCGGCCCCCGGCCCCGATGGCCCGTGCGGCGCCCCCGCGGAAGGCAGCCCGCTCCGCCCGCCCGCCCACTCCTGCTCCGCCGTCTTCGACGAGGACAAGCCCATAGCCAGCAGCGGGGCCTACAACCTGGACTTCGACAGCATCGAGCTGGTCGGCCACCCCCGGACCTCGGAGCCTCGGCCCTCGGACGCGCGGACGAGGTCCCCCGACGCCGGGGCCCCCGCCAGGGCCGCGCTGCCCCGCTCCCTCAGCCTGCAGGCCTGCGACCTCGATGGTGCTTCCTGCGCGGGCGACGCTGAGGCCGCGGCCCCGGCCCCCGAAGCGAGCAGCCTGGGTCCGGGCAGCGACTCTGGTTCCCTCAAGCGGACGAAGAAGCCGAGGCCGCCTTCCCTGAAGAAGAAGCAGCCCCCCAAGAAGCCCCTGGAAGCGCCCCCCGTGCGAGAGAGTCCGCCGGCGCCGGCCGAGGAGAGCCCCGGGCCCAGCGAGGAGAACGGTGCCCCCGAGACAGACACGGAGTCGGCCCCCCGGGAAGCTCCTGGGCCCGCCCCCACCGAGGAGGCGCCCCTGGAACCCGCCGCCGTGCCCAAGGCCGCCGGCCCCGTGGACTCCGTGGGCACAGACGGGGCCGTCCCCCCTGCAGGGGGCAGAGTGCAGAACTCACCCCCTGTTGGCAGGAAAGCGGTGCCCCCTGCCCCGGCCCCCGAGGCAGTGGGGGTGACCCCAGCAGAGAGCCGGGGCCCCGAGGACCCCCCGGCCAGAGGGCTCTCGGTGAGGCTGGAGTTTGACTATTCGGAGGACAAGGGCAGCCGGGACAGCGCACAGGACACCGCCCCTGCCCCCAAGAAGCTGGGCAAAAAGCCAGGCGCCAAAATGCCCCTCCGGAGGCTGAAGGTGAAGAAAGGCCCCGAGAAGCTGGACAGCACCCCGGCCTCGCCCCCCCGGTCCCCCGCGGAGCCCAGTGACATCCCTGTCGCCAAAGGCTCCTACACCTTCGACATCGACAAGTGGGACGACCCCAATTTCAACCCTTTCTCTTCCACCTCGAAAATGCAGGAGTCCCCCAAACTGCCCCCACCATCCTACGGCTTCGCCCCCGACGCCTGCGGCGAGCCCGCCGACCCCTGTCCGGCCCCCAGCTCGCCGTCTAAGTCCCCAGCCTCCTTTGAGATCCCCGTCGGCTCCCCCGACGCCCACGGCGTGGACGGGGACGGGCTGAGCAAGCCGGCCAAGAAGAAGAAGACGCCACTGAAGACGTAAGTGCAGGCCGGGCGGGCGGGCGGCGGCTGCGGGCTCAGTCACCTGCCGGGTGCCCTCACCCTCCCACACCTAACACAATGGCGCCAGGCGTGTGACCAGACATTTCCCCACCCGTGTACCCTTTGGGCCGAGAGTCCAGAGTCCTCGATCTTTTTTTTAAAAAAATATATTTTTATTGATTTGAGAGAGAAACATCAGTGATGAGAGAGAATCATGGACCGGCTGCCTCCTGCGTGCCCCACATGGGATGGAGCCCACAACCCGGGCCTGTGCCCTGACCGGGAATCGAACCCCGACCTCCTGGTTCATAGGTTGACACTCAGCCGCTGAGCCACGCCGGGCACAGAGTCCTCGGTTCGTTGCCTGAGTAAGTCAGTGTCTTAAAGCTTTACTTCCAGCTCCGGGGGCTGTTGGGGTCCCACAGAAAGGGGACCGTCCAGGGGAGACCTGGCCAGCCTCTCCCTGTTGTTCTTTTCCATTTGACCCGTGAGTTGTGGTTTGTTTTTGGAGTGGCCGGAAGCTAGGGAATATGCCCTTAAAATACTGTTAACATTCGTGGTATCTGCCCGTGAACGAGATCAGTCCAGGAGGCCAGCACGCTGAGCCCGGGGCCCGGCCCTCCCTGCCCCGCCCCCCTTCACCCGTGGGACATGCCTGTGTGTCTGCACCCCGCTCTCGGGGCAGCATTTGCAGACGAGAGGCCGCAGGCCTGCAAGCCCAGAGGAGTTCGGGGCCTGAGCGGGCAAAGCCGCCTTCCGCTCGGTCCTGGAGGCTGTGGGGTCTGTGGGCCGCCCACACGTGCAGGCAGGTGACCGGCACGTCCCGCCTCGAGCACGCGTTCCAAGCCCCTCATCGAGGCCACGGGCCTGCGCCGCGTGCTGGGGGCGGGCCTTGCTCCTCGCTCTCCTGTGAGGCGTCGTCAGTCATGTCACCAGGCCCTGGGGGCTGGCAGGACCGGCCGCGGCTGCGGGCGCCCATGGATCAAGGTGGCGCCCTGGGCCTCCCGTCTGGGCTCTCGGGCCCCTGGCCTGGGGTCCCCCTGCTCCTGCTGGTGCGGGGCAGGGGGGCGGGGGGGCAATCCCGGTCCCCCCAGCAGGACTCTTAGATCGGTTACCCCAACAGGCTTCTGCTGGACACGCCATAGGATCTGTGTGAGAAGCTTCGTTATTCATTTGTTATCCTCACCCGAGGGTATTTTTTCATTGATTTTTAGAGAGTGGCAAGCAGGGGGGAGAGACAGAGAGAAACTTTGATGTGAGAGAGACACGTCGATTGGTTGCCTCCTGCACGCGCCCAGACCAGGGCCGGGGATCGAGCCTGCAACTAAGGTGCGTGCCCTTGGCTGGAATCGAACCCGGGACCCTTTAGTCCGCAGGCCGACGCTCTACCCACTGAGCCACACCAGCCAGGGCAGAAGCTCTAAGCCCCAAACAAGAGGAGCCTGAAATCTCAGGCTGCAGACTCGTTCTGTCATCTTTGGCTCGAGCCATCCTGTGGGCACCCCCTCCTCCTCAGGCGCCCCCTCCTCCTCAGGCGCCCCCTCCTCCTCAGGTGCCCCCTCCTCCCTGCCCCGTCCTCAGAGCTCCCGTGCCCGGGATGCCAGCCCTCGAGCCGTCCTGCTCCAGGGCCGGTGGCTGGGGTGCCCTGGGACCAGGCTCCTGGCCGCAGCCCTCTATGGGGTCATCGGAACCAGCACGGGAGGGTCCTCGGGGGCCCTCTCCGGAAAGCGCCCCCACTCCCGCGGACCCCGCGGACGGCCGCAGGCTGCTGTGTGTCAGGGCCTCTGTCTGTCTCTCTGTCTCCCTGTCTCAGGATGGTGGAAGACGTGATGTCTGTGTGTTCTCTGTTGTAAGTACCGTCTCGCTCCGCCTCCCCCGCGCTGTGCCCGCCTGTCCGTGTCCATCTCATGCCCGTTTGCTTTCACCACGGCTGCTGCTTCACGTGTTTGTGTTTTACGTGTGTGTGGGGGGGGCTGGGCAGAGGCTGTCTCTCTGTTCCGTGGGGTCAGTGTCACCGTGGGGTCTGGCCCCAGCGCCTGCCCGCTCGTGGGGAATGGACTCCTTGCCTCGCTCATGTGTCTTCGGCGGAGGGAGGCCGGGCTTTTTGAACTCATCTCATTCTCGCGTTTTAAGTTGATCGCGGCCATTGCTCCCCGAGTTCTGTGGCTTCGCGTGGAGGTCACATCCCGGCCAACCCCCGGCAGCGGCGGCGGCTTGTCCCGCGGACACGGAGGCGGGAATGTTTGGGCTGTTTCCAAATTGGGGCATGCGGAGCCCCTGTAAGCGGTCGGCTCTGAGGGGAGGGCCAGGGCCGAGCGAGTCGCTGCCGCTGCTCGGGGCGGCTGGGGGTCAGCATGCCGCCTGGGGTCATGGTCCTGCGGGGGCGGGGGGTGGGGGGTGGGGGGCTGGGGGACCGGAGCAGACCGCCCAGGGCCTCTGCTGCTTTGCCTCCCCGGCCGGGAGGGTCGTGTGGGCGGCTCCCAGGGGCCCAGGCCAGCACCTTCTCTGCCTCCCTGTCCCCACAAGGGGGTCTGGCCCGTCCCAGGCGCGTGCAGCCCCCCCAGAGGGCTGAGTCCTCAGGCTCTGCCGCCCCAGGGAGATCAGGGCCTTAGAGCGACTGAGCAACTTTAAGATATAAGTCCGTGTGATTATGTGCATGGACAGCGGTACGCTTCAGGCCGCGGTCACAGGTGCGCTGTGCCAGGCATCGATGCTGCCAGTAACCATGCGAGTATCTCCCATGAGCCGGTGCCGCCGTGGGGCGTTACTTGCGAGACACAGGGAGGAACTGGGTGCCGGGTTCTGCCCACTGGTTGACGGGAGGGGAGTGGGATCTAAGGATGGGGGCTCCCCTACCCCCAACCCTGGTTTGTCCAGGAGGCGGGGCTGAGGCCAGGAGGCGGGGCCTGAGGCCAGGAGGCGGGGCTGAGGCCAGGAGGCGGGGCCTGAGGCCAGGAGGCGGGGCTGAGGCCAGGAGGCGGGGCCTGAGGCCAGGAGGCGGGGCTGAGGCCAGGAGGCGGGGCTGAGGCCAGGAGGCGGGGCCAGTCTGCAGGTGGAGGAGCCTCCTTTCTGACCTTGGGAAGGACCCCTGACCTCCCAGGGGACAGCGGGGACCCGTCTGTGCTAACCTCTGACCCCTCAGGAGTCTCCTCTGATGCCCCCTCACCCCCCACTGCCTCGTTATTCGTGTGAAGGAGAGAGAGGAGGAGCGCCCAGAATCTTGTCTGTTCCCCGTAGTTAGGAAAAACCCAGGCCTCCCCCCAGCTCAGGCCTCCTCCCTGAAAACCCCGGCAGGTCCGTTCAGTGACGGCCGACCTGCCCGGCGTGAGCTGCCCCGTCACTGGCCAGGAGCCTGCATCCCCCGGGCACTGGGCTCAGACACGTGGGTGGACCCCAGGACGCGGACGTGCGCGCCCCGATGTGCTCTGCAGGGGAAGTCGGGGCATCGGGTCAGCCCCCCAGTGCCCTCTGGGGTCCAGCTTCCTGAACCTCGCAGCCGCGGTCACACCTGCTGGAGGCGCAGAGCGAGCCCCGGCCTGGGCGGCACTGGGCGGCAGGGGGTCCGGCAGACACAGCAGAGGCGGTGGCTTCGGTCTGCTCTGTTCCGGAACGTTCTGGACCTGGTTGTGTTCACATTTCCCATTTTGTTTTCAGTGACACGTTTAGGGTGAAAAAGTCGCCGAAGCGGTCCCCTCTCTCGGACCCACCCTCTCAGGTACGACGTCCCCGGACGTGTCTGCGTGAACCGCTCGCCCGGGATGGGGGCTGATGGGTGTTTATCCCGTCATGGCCCTCTCCGCCCACTCGGCCGCGTCCCCGGCACCCTCCCTGCCTCCTCCACGGCGCTTCCTGGTGTTGGCAAGACACCGTTTGGCCGCCCTCCCTGTGGGGGGTCGGATGTGCCCCGAGATGGAAGAAGTTCAGGGAGATGTGGGGGTGCCTCTAGCCAGCGGTCGCCAGGCTTGCGGACCTCACGGGTCACCTGTGGTCCTCGGACCGCCGGCCGGCGACGCTGCACTAGAGGCCCCTCGGGGACCTACCGTCCATCTCCCGTTCGTTAGCTGAGAATGTGTGTGAATATCACGTCCAGGGAGTCCTGGAGGTAAATGGACACACAGGGAGGCAGGCACCTGAGCATGTGTGACGAGCCCTGGAATTTTTATTTTATTGATTTTAGAGGGAGACGAAGGGAGGGAGAGAGAGAGAAGCATCAGTGGTGAGAGAGGATCACGGATCAGCTGCCTCCTGCAGGCCCCCCACTTCGGATCCAGCCCGCAACCCGGGCCTGTGCCCCGACCAGGAACCGAACCCTGACCTCCTGGTTCCTAGGCCAACGCTCACCACTGAGCCACGCTGGCCGGGCAGGAGCACTGGAGTTTGTAACCCACATCAAGTGGGAGGTAAAGCCGGCTCCTCGCCCGCGGCCCAGCTCCTGCTCACTCGCTCCGCCACCCAGTACCCACACGTCTTCTCCCCGTCGCAGACCAGACGAGGGAAGGTTGTCCTCCCTCCGGTGGGTGTGCCAGGCCCTTCAGGTCCTGAAACAGCGGTTCTCAGCCTGGGGGTTGAGATCCCTTTGGGGGTCGAACGAGCCTTTCACAGGGGTCGCCTAAGACCATTGGAAAACACATATATAATTACGTACTGTTTCTGCGATTAATCACTGTGCTTTAATTATGTTCAATTTGTAACAATGAAAATACATCCTGCATAGCAGATATTTACATGACGGTTCGTAACAGTAGCAACATGACAGTGAGGAAGTAGCCACGAAAATAATTTTATGGCTGGGGGTCACAACATGCGGAGCTGTATTAAAGGGTCGCGGCGTTAGGAAGGTTGAGAACCACTGCACTAAAACACCCCCCCCCCCCCCCCCCCATCGGAGCCAGTGCAGGAGCCAGCCAACCCCTGCCCGGCGGGGGCTGCAGAGAGAGGGGCCTGGGACCCTGGGACGGGCCTTGGGTCCCAGCCCTGGCTCCGCCCTGGCGTCCCGGGCCCCGTCCCCCTGCTCAGCTGCACAGCCCGCGGGGATGGGGAATGGGCCCCTGTGGGCATGGAGGCGCAAGCCCTCTCTGTCCCCACCAGCAGGTGCGAGGATTGACAGCCGATAGCGACTGTGGGCACAACCCAGGCATCAAAGCACTAAAATGACGAGAAGTAAAAGTGTCCTTTTCCTCCAAGTGAATGAGCAGGAGCATCTCAAATGACCGAGACGCCCGATAACCAAACATCCCCACTTTTCTAAGCCCCCAGTCCCCGAGACGAGCCACCAGAAAAGGAGCTTTATCATGAAGGGCAGAGCTGTGTCCGGGGGACACTGGGCATTTCCACCTCCTCGTTCATGGGCCGGACCGGGGGCGGGCGGGGGCGGGCGCGGACACTGGACGGCTCCCCTCCTCCTCGCAGGACCCCACGCCCGCGGCCACGCCGGAAACGCCGCCGGTGATCTCGGCCGTGGTCCACGCGACGGACGAGGAGAAGCTGGCCGTCACCAGCCAGAAGTGGGCGTGCATGACGGTGGACCTGGAGGCGGACAAGCAGGACTTCCCGCAGCCCTCGGACCTGTCCTCCTTCGTCAACGAGACCAAGTTCAGCTCCCCCACCGAGGGTAAGCCACCGGGGACCCCCCCCCCCCCCCGGAGGACAAAAGGCCGGGAAACCCCGCCGGCGTGGCTCAGGGGCGGAGCGTCCACCTACGCACCAGGAGGTCATGGTTCGATTCCCAGTCAGGGCACAGGCCCGGGTTGTGGCTTGATCATTGATTTTTTATTAGAGAGAGAGGAAGGGAGAGGGATAGAAACATCAATGAAGAGAGAGAATCACTGCTTGGCTGCCTCCTGCACGCCCCACACTGGGGATGGAGCCCACAACCCGGGCCTCTGCCCTGACTGGGAATCGAACCCTGACGTCCCGGTTCATAGGTCGACTTTCAATCCCTGAGCCACCCCTGCCCGACGGGAGTATCTTATTCTAAAGCTCATATTAGGGAGTGCGTTTTTCAGTGTTGGCTTCAGCAGCGTGTAGAAACGGGTGCTCTAAACCAGAACTGCTATTTTGTCTGTTTTTACGTAAAAACTGCTGGAGGCCTCGGGCTCCAGGCATCACCCCTGACGCTCCTGCCCAGCGGGTGTCTGAGCCGGTCATGGTCCCCTCCAGCCCCTTTTCGAGCAGAAGAGAGCCATCTGGCTGCTGCAGGTGGCGGCTTCTGTGCCAAGAGCCCCTTCGGGCCTCGTTTGCCAGGGCGCCCGCTGGGCCCAGCGCAGCGGGAGGCACACAGTAGGTGCTCAGGATGCGTGTGCCTGCCAGGGGACCCGGGGGCAGCAGGGCGGGCCTCCGTGTGGAGCTGCCGCGGACCGAGGCGTGCGTGGCTCCGGTCTCCAGCAAGAGCCCCTGGAGTTCCCTTTGCAGCCTGAAGTCTCAGCAGTTCGAACGAGGTCATTTCTCACCGAACTGGACTTTCAAAGTCTTTTTTGGGCCCTGGCCGGGGTGGCTGTGTTCACAGAGCGTTGCCCTGCGCACTGAAGGGTCCCCGGGTTCGATTCCGGTCAAGGGCTCCTACTTCAGCTGCAGGCTCGATCCCTCGTCCGCATGTGAGAGGCAGTCCAGCAGTGCGTCTCTCTGTCTCCCCCTCCTTCCACTCTTCCTAAAAACCCGTAGGGAAGTACCCTCAGGTGAGGATTAACAAAACAAAAGCGGAAATAACTAAATGGAACAAGTTTTTTAAAAAGTTTTGGATCTGAGCGTTGGTGTTGCAGCCCCGGCCCCGGAGACACAGCGGTTTGGTGGCGGCCGGGTGGCTGCAGAGCTGCTCCTACAGCAGGGGACTCGCTGTCCTCCCCTTGCTCCCGGCTGTGGCTGCAGCGAGTTCTCAGGGAGGGACGACCGAGGGTCCCTGGGACTCAGAGGAACGCAGCTCCTGGGGGGCGCCCACTCGGGCCTGGACGCTTGGTGGGCGGAGCTGGGTCTGTCCTGTCAGACCCGGGGCCTGGCCATGATGCCCGTGGCAGAGCCCGGGGAGCAGGAGGGTTACGGGTGTCCGGGCTGGAATCTGGTTGAACAGTTTGTACTCCTGCTCCGGCCCCGCCCTGGCCCTTCCCTGTCCCTGTCCCCATCCCCGCCCTGTCCCTGTCCCGCGCTGACCCCCGTCTCCCTGCAGAGCTGGACTACAGGAACGCCTACGAAATCGAGTACATGGAGAAAATCGGCTCCTCCTTGCCTGTAAGTGCTCCTGCCGCAGTCGGCGGGCGGGCGCTTTCCCAGCTGCGCTGCCGGACAACACAGCCGGGCCTGCTCCGGTCCCAGCGCCCTGGGACCCCGACCTCGGAGCCAGGGTGCTGGGTGCCCGCAGCTCCCCGGTGCCCGCAGCTCCCCGGGTGCTCGCAGCTCCCCGGTGCCCGCAGCTCCCCGGGTGCCCGCAGCTCCCCGGGTGCCCGCAGCTCCCGGGTGCTCGCAGCTCCCCGGTGCCCGCAGCTCCCCGGTGCCCGCAGCTCCCGGGTGCCCGCAGCTCCCCGGGTGCCCGCAGCTCCCCGATGCCCGCAGCTCCCCGGTGCCCGCAGCTCCTGGGTGCCCGCAGCTCCCCGGTGCCCGCAGCTTCCCGGGTGCCCGCAGCTCCCCGGTGCCCACAGCTCCCGGGTGCCCGCAGCTCCCCGGTGCCCGCAGCTCCCGGGTGCCCGCAGCTCCCTGGTGCCCGCAGCTTCCCGGGTGCCCGCAGCTCCCCGGTGCCCGCAGCTTCCTGGGTGCCTGGGTTGCGGGCTCCATCCCCAGTGGGGGGCCTGCAGGAGGCAGCCGATCAATGATTCTCTCTCATCATTGATGTTTCTCTCTCCCTCTCCCTTCCTCTCTGAAATCAATAAAAATATACATATTTAAAATAACAAAAGTATATTTTTAAAAATGCCCCCACCGCACGCAGTTGCCACCCCCCCCCCCCCCCCCGACGCCCCTCGGAGCCAGCACGTTGGCTCCTCTCTCCGGGGAGGAGGGGAGGGCAGGCTCCTCCCGCTGAGCCAGGTCTCCTGTGCGACGGGCCTTGCCGTCTCCTCTGTGGCGGGGCCAGGCCAGCGGCGGCCGAGCTGACGCGCGGCGTTGCTCCCCACAGGACGACGACGCCCCGAAGAAGCCGGCGCTGTACCTGATGTTCGACACGTCACAGGAGAGCCCGGTCAAGTCCCCGCCCGCCCGGCTGTCGGAGTCCCCCACGCCGTGTTCCGGGTACGCCGTCTCCGCCGTCCGCGTGGGCGGGTGACGGACAGAGCCCCGAGCCCCAGCGCCGGCTCTGCCTCCCGATGCGCCTCCCGTGCGAACAGCCGGGCAGCGGGTGCTCCCGGCGCCGTGTCCACAGGGACGGAGCACGGCGGGCTTGCTGCTGCTGCCCGGGGGTGGAGGCGGCGCCCCCTAATAGGGGTGTGGGCCCCTCCGAGCGCCCCCAGTGCTCCCACGGCCGCTGTCATGGTCCCGTGGGGGCAGCGGCCGCAGCCCTTGGAGTCCGTGCCCCCCCCCCCCCCCCCGCCCCTCGCTGGCTGCGGGACCTCGTGCAGGTCACTGCCCCCGTGTCACACGGAGTAACGGTGACTCTGAGCCGTAGGGATCTGAGGGTCATACCGCGGGGCTCCCCGTGTTGCAGGCTCTCCTGCTGCACGTGTGTGATGCCTGTGGATGTGAATGTCAGCTCCATCGGGGGGCTGGGCCGTGTGCTGGGCTGTGGAGGGGGCCTCGCTCTGAGATGGGGCCTCCCTGAGGGAAAGGGAAACGTCGATGTGAAGGTGAGACATCGATCGGCTGCCTCCTGCACGTCCCCTGCCAGGGATGGAGCCCACAACCTGGGCCTGGGCCCTGACGGAAATCAAACCAGCGACCTGAGTGCATGGGATGGAGCCCAACCCACTGGGCCAGGCAGCCGGGGACGGAAGCTCCTGCTTTGCCTTCTGAAACCCAGAATCTGCCCCGAGCGGCACTAGGGATGGTGGCGGTGTGACTCTGGCAGCGACGGTGCCGTGACGGCCGCGTCAGTTGCCTCACCTGCAGGCGGCCCCCCCTCCCCTCTCGGAGGCCCTGCCTCCCCCTCAGAGCAGGAGACCGGGGACCCACCGCCAGCCCTGGGCACACAGCCCAGCCTCCAGCTCCGGCCACAGCTCCTGCCTCTGAGCCAGGACATCTGTGCTCCGACCTCCCTCGTCAGCAGGCCCCGGCGTGGGCTGAGCCCCCCTCAAACTGTCCTGCCCACAGGCCCCTGGTGGCCAAGACCCGCCCCCTTCCCCTCTGGGGCGCAGCCTGGCGGTCCAGGGTCCCTTGGGAGGCTGGCTGAGCGGGCAGCCCGGCCGATGTCTGTGGGGTTTGCAACAAGAAGACAGAAGGTGCCCTTTGCTTCCTCAGGTCGAGCTTCGAGGAGGCCGAAGCCCTGGTGAACACGGGGGCCAAGGTCCCCCATCTGGTGCCCCGAGGGCTGGCCCCCGCCCAGGAGCCGCACGTGCCGGTGCCAGTGCCGGAGAAGCCCGCCCAGGAGCTGGAGGCCAGGGCCGTGGGCGCCGCCGAGGCGATCGAAATCGTAAGTGGGGTCGAGGGGCCGAGATCCCTGGGGTTGAGGTCGGGCCAGCTGGACCCCTTTGCCCAGGGGGCCAGGCTTCTGAGCAATCCTCACCTGCACCCCAGAAGCCAGCCTAGGAGGCCGCCCCGTAACGCAAGGCTCTCTGTTCACCCACCTGCTTTACTGCCTTCGGGCTATCGACCTCCCACCTTGAGCCCCTTAGGGCTGGGCAGCTGCGTTGGGGTTGTCCTGAGTCTCAGTCTGTAGCTGCTCCTCAGAGGGCGGGCGGGCAGGGCGGGCGGGGGGGGGACCCTCCTGGGAGGGACCCTCCTGTCCATAGACCAGGAGTGACCTCTTCCCTCAGGGCAGAGGGGCCGAGCTGAGCCTCTCCCCGCCCCCACCCCTCGCACATTTAAATGGAGCGCCCGGGGGGAGTTTTATTTCACTGCTGCCACCGCCCTCCTAGCCATCCCTGGGGCTTGCGGCCATCGGTCAGCTGGTGTTCAGTTCCGTGTAGTAAGCCGTGTATCGCACACTGAGTGTCTGCTGAGCACCTTCTGCGTGTCTGTCAGCTGGAAAATACGACTGAGCAGAGAGCTGGGTGTGACTGAGGCTGAGGCCTTTCTGATCGACCGGGAGATGCGTTTCCCGAGTGAAGTCATCTTTCCGTCGCTTAGAAAATGGTCTTTCCCCAAACCTCCCTTCCCCTGATGTTCACACGGAGGGGCTTTCTCCGTGACTGACGCTTGGAAAACCCATCACCTGGCTTGTCTCCCGCCCACCGAGCTTTTCAAATAAGAAACAGTTACTCCCCCCCCCCCCCACGGGCCAGTTAGGGAGTGAAGGCGGGTGAGGGGGGGGGGGCGAGGGCTACGGCCGCTTTCGGGGTGGGGCTGGGCCGGCCGCTCTGGAGATGCCCATTGTCCGTCTTGGGCTCAGCCCGGAGGAAAGGGCAGTGTCGGCCGCTGGCTGACGCTCTCTGCAACCTTAAGGCAGAAGTGTCCCCCGTGGGTGCGAGGTCCTCGCTGGGCAGCGGCGTCACTCTCTCTCCTGTCTCTCTCTGTCTCTCTCTCCCGTCGTCCGGCTCCGCGGCCTCCAGGCAGCTCCGGAGGGTGCCTTTGCCTCCGCGGACGCCCTGCTCAGCAGGCTGGCCGACCCGGCCTCGCTCTGTGGCGCGCTCGACTACCTGGAACCCGACTTAGCGGAAAAGAACCCCCCGGTGTTTGCGCAGAAGCTGCAGGTGGGTAGCCCTCTAGGGGCCTTCGGGGACGGTGTCGAAACCTCTGTGGAGCGTGAGCCTCGGCGGCCAGACGCCCGGAGGAGGGATCGAACGCGTGGCTGCTGAGAAGGGGCCCGGGAGGCGCCCTCCCACCCCCCATGGGGCTGAGTGTGGCTGGTGCGCGATGCGCGATGGCGCAGGGAACCGGCCGTGTGCGTTTCCGCTTGGAAGCCGGGCCGTTCTTTTCAGAAGCTTCGAAAGCCCCGGGGCAGCTGGTGATCGAGTCCCGGAACCGAGGGTGTGAGGTCTCCGTGCAGCCCCGCAGCGCACAGGCGCGAGGCTCCGGTCCCGGAGAGAGAACATCTGGGCTGGGTCTCGCACTGCGGCCGAGGCAATGGCCGCCTCTGTGCTTTAAATCTGACAACTTCATTCCAGTCCTTTAGACCCAAAGGAGAGAGGCTGTGAGCCGCGCTGGCGGATGCCATCCACTCGAGGGCGCTGTTAGCCAACCTCGCATGAGACGAACCGAAAGGAAAGAAACCAGAGGAAACAGGACCGCGAAAATGTTGATTTTTGTTTAAAAAATCGTTCATGGTTGTGTGCATGATACTTAGGGAGATTAAAAAAAATAGGAGCCCGGCCGGCATGGCTCAGTGACTGAGCATCGACCTGTGAGCCAGGAGGTCAGGTTCCATTCCGGTCGGGGCACAGGCCCGGGTTGTGGCTCCATCCCCCGTCCGGGGCGTGCAGGAGGCAGCCGACCCGTGGTTCTCCACGATGGTCGATGTTTCTCTCTCTCTCCCTCTCCTTTCTCTCTGAAGTCAATGAAAAACATATATATATATATATTTAAGTAATAATAATCTTTAAAAAAAGGAAATTAAACAGTTTCATGATTCTGCGGAGCTGACGTGAAAGGAAGCCGGTGTGTGCTCCCCCAGCACCCGTCATGCTCCCCGTGCTCCCCCCATCCCCCCAGTCGGGCACCTTTCCCCTGGCTCACCCCACCCCCCCTGGCAGGAGGAGCTAGAGTTTGCCATCATGCGGATCGAGGCGCTGAAGCTGGCCCGGCAGATCGCGCTGGCTGCCCGCAGCCGCCAGGACGCCAAGGTACCGGTGCGGCCGCGCCCGCCTGCCTGGAGAATGGTGTGTGGTCCGAGCGCTTCCGTGCTAACCCTCCGCCGGGCGGCATGGCTGGTGTTCGGCGAAGTAGGCTCTTCTAGGAAGCTACATGCCTAGCGCGTGTCTGAGACCCGCCTCTGTGGGAGGGAGCCTGCGCCGGAGTCTGAGTGATACGGGCGGGGCATGCAGAGGTGTCTGCCTGGCTTCCGAGTTGCTGATGACGCGTGAGACGGCGTGTGACCCTGTGAGGCCTGGCCCACCCCGAGCTGGGCAGCCTGGGGTCCTGGTGTGTGGGACCAGGGCCGGACCCAGCGTGCCCGGTCGCTCTGACCGACGTGGTGAGAAGGGCCCCCTGAGCCTCAGTTTCTGCCTCTGTGAGGCGAGGTTAACGCAGTGAGTTCGCCAGTTGCTGCGAGGATTGCAGGTGACGTGTGGAGAGCCGGCTGTGCCCGGCTCACAGTAGGTGTGCAGGACGTGAACGCTGCTGCTGTTCGCTGGCCCTCCCCTTTGCTTCTGCTGCCTGGTCAGACGCTTGCTCGCAGCAGCTCCTCAGCAGGTGGTCCAGGCACGAACAGCCCGAGGGGGGCCCGGGGGAGCCCTGCCCGTCCATCCCCAGTAGCCGGTCCCCGGGCAGAGGGGCCAGTGGTGTCTGTCTCTCGTCCTTAGTGCAGGATCAGGGGCTTGGCGGCTGCCCCTGCCCTCAACCCCACACGTGGTTTCCCTGGAGCCGGGGGCGAGGGGGGCAGAGACCCCTCAGTGAAGGAAGGTGGGCGCACTGGGTGTCCAGATGGGCGGGTAGGGACCCAGGGCAGGGACAGGATATGGACGTAGCGTGCCCTTGTCCTTGCGGCCAGCCATGCACTTGGGTCTGATTTCCATGAAAACGGAATCCTCAGGAATCGACGCGGCGAGGGTTGGCTTCCCCAGGAGATTTGTTTCTTGATCTCCTTGGGCAGCGGCTGGAGGCTGGGCCACTGCCAGTGCGGCCTGTTCCTGTCCTGAAGTGTGAGGCGAGTTGGGGATGTCCTACTCAGCAGTTTGGATCAGGCAGCGAGCGTTCGGGGCGCCTGGTGCCCCCGCCTCCTTCCTCTGAGGTCGCGTGGGAGATGGCGGAGGACAGACATCGGCCAGCAGCTGACTTCCCGTCGGTCACGTCTGTTTTCCGGCCACGTGTTCCGATTGTGATTTAGAAAATGCCGCCCCACGGACGTCTTTAACTTGCGTTGACCGGTAGCTGGAGGGCCGGCCGGCCTGCCTCTTTGGGCCACAGTGGGGGGGGCCGGGGGGAGAATCTCATTACCAGGCAGGCGCTCCGGTCGTAATTCACATGGGGTCTGGGCTCCTCTCCCTTATGGACACCCCAGGCGGCCCGAGGACGAGCTGCTGTGTCGCTGGAGGGAGCAGCCTTTATTCTGTCACTAGAGCCTGGTGCATGGAATGTGTGCACTTGTGGGGGTCCCTCAGCCCAGCCTGGGAGCCCTCGGGGGATGTCCGACTGATGGGCCTAAGCTGTCAGTCGGACATCCTTAGCACTGCCGCAGAAGCGGGAGAGACTCCTGCCACCGCCACCACCGCTGCGCTCGCGGCTGTGAGCCTGGCTTCTGGCTGAGTGGCGCTCCTCTTGCCTTGAACATCTGCCCCCTGGTGGTCAGTGCACATCATAGCAACCGGTTCTGCCGCCAGTTGATTTGCATGTTAGTCTTTTATTATATAGGATGTTTCACAAAGGACTTGAGGCAGCTTCCCGACCATTGATCCCTGCCACAGTCACCGGTGGCCATGCCTGGTTTCCGCCCAGTGGGACAGGGTTCGTTCTAGTTCATTTCTTCTGCACCGCGGAGCGCGGGTGGACTTGGGGCCGGACCGAATCCCAGTCTGGGGAACCTTTACCAAATCTCTCAGGTCCCCAAGTTTTTTCCACTTTGGAGGGACCGGGATGAGTAAGATGGTATCAAATGGTTTTTCTGTTTTGCAATTTTCTTATTCTAGTTTTTTTTGTGTGTGTGTTTTGTTGTTTTTTTCATAGAACACCTTCTTTTACTTCAAAAGTGATAGGAACGGCCTGGCCGGCGTGACTCAGGGGTTGAACACCAACCTATGAACCAGGAGATCAGGGTTTGAGTCCAGCCAGGGCACATGCCCAGGTTGCAGGCCCCATCCCCAGCGTGGGTTGTGCAGGAGGCAGCCCACCCGTGACTCTCTCTCATCGTTGATGTTTCTGTCTCTCGCTCCCTCTCCCTTCCTCTCTGACATCAAGAAGAAGAAGAAAAAATCTTTTAAGTGACAGGAACAGTTTAGTCCTTGCCAGCAGCCCTGTCCATGAACTTCACCCGTAAACGCAGTCACTGGGTGTTGGCATCATTTTCCATTTGGTTTCTGAGAAGTTTCTCTTAGGACCCTGCTACCTTCAGACTCAGAGGTCGCCCACGGCGAGGGGATGTCTGCCCGTCCGCTGGCCCTGCTCCGGCCGGCCTGCCCCGGGGCTTTAACTTGTGCTCTGGACCAAGCCGGGCAGCGGCCTCGCTGGGGCCTCGCTGGGGAAGCTCGGGCGGCCCATGTGCCTGGGGCTGGGGGCCGGGGGCTGCGCTCCCCTCTCTGAGCCGCAGTTGTCATTTGCATCCCAGACGCTCAAGGCCAGGCAGGGGCAGAGGAACGGAAGCAGCGGGCTCGCTGCGGGGACCCCTCACCGTTGGGCCCCCGCCTGCATGTGCACCACTCGGGGGCCTGCCCCGATCTCCGCTCCTCTCCATAAACTCCGCCCGTGAGCCAGGCCCGTGCCTGGACCGGGGAAACTGCTCCGGCCCTGCAGGGGCGCCCCCTCCGGTGGCTGCTGGTTCTGCCATCTTCTCTGCTGCCAGTTACTTATTTACATTACATTCTCTGTGCTCTTCCAGAATCTGTCCTCCTCGGCACCGGCACTGGCACCGGCACCGGCACCGGCACCGAGGTGGCCTGTTCTCCGCTCAGTTTCTTCCCCTAAATCCCCAGGCCGACGCCGTGCACGGCCGATGCCTGTCGGGCCCCGGGGAGTGGGGTTCATGGATGGGACAGAGAGTGGGGGGGGGGCTGGGTGTGCCGTGTGCAGTGACGCTGGACTGACCCCTGGCTGCGCTGGTGGGACGTGCCCCTAACACCGCATTTCACGTGTGGGGAGTGGCTGATTGTTGTGTGAAAAGGGAGGGAGAGGGGCCACAGCCCCCCGTGGCCGCAGGCTGGTGACTCGTCTGCAGTCGGCCCGGGGCCAGGGGTGGGCGGGGAGTCACGGCCCCCCTCGAGGGTCTCCTCAGCCAGTGTGGGTGTTGCTATTCACCACTTTGTCCACTGGCACACGGACTCAAGGCAGCGTCGCTCCCACTGACTGCCCTCTCCACGCCCAGAAACGCGCCCGTGGAGGGCGACCCAGGTGGACAGCCACCGGGGTCTTCAGAGTCACACGCTTCCACATGGAGCTAAACAAACGCTCTCCCAAACGAAACGTGGACAGAAATGACCAGATCGGCCCTGGCCGGTGTGCTCAGTGGATAGCGCGTCGGCCTGCGGACCCAAGGGTCCCGGGTTCGATTCCGGTCAAGGGCATGTTTCTCGGTTACAGGCTCCTCCCCGGCCCAGGCCCTGGTTGGGCACGGGCAGGACGCAACCAAGCGATGTGTGTCTCTCACATCGATGTGTCTGTCTCTCCCTCTCTCTTCCACTCCTAAAAATCAATGGAAAAATACCCTCGGGCGACGATAAAAAACACTCAGATCTGCCTTCATTGGAGACTCGGCAGGCGTGGGCTGGGGTGCAGCGTCGTTCCACCAGGTTTTAGGGGAGCGGAGCCGCTGGCGGAGGCCCTCGGGTCTCCCTCACTGCGCCTAGGACCTGGCGTCTGATAAATGGCTAAGACAGCAGCCACCAGACCCGCTCGGCTCTGGGCCGGGAGCCGGGAGCCGGGAGCCGGGAGGCCTCCGCCAGCCCCTTTGCCCACGCCCGTGCCCAAGGATAACTCCATCGGTTGTGCCTGCGCCCCCTGCCATTAGCCTTAGCGCCTTCTCATCCGTGGGACGTCCTCTGTTTCAAAACCATACAACGGGCCCTTCATGACAGATGAATGCAACCCTGTCCCAGGATTGACGTGAGCTTCTTTTTTTTTAATTAAAAACCATCCGCAGAGAGAAGCCGCTCACCCAGCCGATGTCTCCATCTCCAAGTCAGCCCTGTACTCCCGCATCGGGGCGGCGGAGGCGGAGAAGGCCCCCGGCCTCCTGTTCCAGCCGCCGGACCTGGACGCCGCGCTGCAGGTCGCCCGGGCAGAGGTACGTGGCGGGCGGCGGGCAAGGCCAGGCTGGGGCCCTGCGTCAGCCCCGTGTCAGTAAACACGTGCCCACGCCCGCCTCTGGACCCGACTTTCCCCTCTGACCGCCGCAGGCACAGGGGGCGCCGACTGTGGGTTTTGATCTTCTTGATGCGATTGTTTCTCTTGTTTTTCAAATAGATTTTTATTGATGTCAGAGAGGAAGGGAGAGAGAGAGACACACCATGATGAGAGAGAATCATGGACCGGCTGCCTCCTGCACGCCCCCCCCGGGAATCAAGCCCACTACCCGGGCTGTGCCCTGACCAGGAATCGAACCCCGACCTCCCGGTTCCCAGGTCGACGCTCAACCCCTGAGCCACGCCGGCCGGTTCCTCGCGGTTGTTTAACGAGCCTTTATGGTCGTTTGATTTATAACGAAAAGCACCGCCTTCCGGTTGCTCCCAGTGGGCGTGGTGAAGGCCGGGGTCTGGCCTCCTCCTGCCTCGTGCTCCGGGGACTCTCGGGAAACAGTTACTTGGCGTAGGACATTTTCGTTCCACGGTGATTCGCTGGGTCCCGTCCCGCCTGGGAGCTGCGCGGGTCTGAACGCCCTCGCAGGGGCCCAGCGTTCCCTCTTCTCTCCGGTGCTAGGTCCTCGCCAAGGAGAGAGAGGTCTCCGAGTGGAAGGAGAAGTACGAGGAGAGCCGGCGCGAGGTCCTGGAGATGAGGTCAGTGGCGGCCCCGGACAGGGTCCTCCCTGTCCCAGGTTCACAGTCCACCGTGTGTGCCCCGTCTCACTCGGATTGGAGTAGCACGGGCAGGAGGTGACCGGTGGGATCCCACGCGCACAATGAGAGCTCTCCTCCCCCCTCGCGGCCTCCAGCTCCACGCCCCGCAGGCAGCCGCCGGCACCGTGTCCGGGGAATCCTTCCAAGCACTTTCCATTTCTCACGGCAAACGTGCCAGTGATCTGCGGAGTGGGCGGCCCCTTGCACCGTGTGACTTAGCGTGTCCTTGACAGATTCAGAGGAAACGAGGAGAAACCAGGGAGGGCTGCTGGAGGAGGCGGCGTTCGCCCTGGGCCTCGGGGAACAGAGAGGCTGGGAGGTGGGAGTAGGAAGGGAGACGCGCAGCACAGCGAGGCGCGGGGGTGAGGAAGCCCGAGGAGGTCTTCTGTTCTCACCGGGCCACTGGCGTGGAAGGCGGTCAGATGGGGGAGGGGCCGGCAGGCGGGTGAGGCCCTGGGGGTCAGGCTAAAGGTGTGGCCTTTAGGTTCTTCTCAGGGGGTGGTGGGGAGACCTGGAAGGGTTTGCACAGGGCGTGGTGTGAGCAGCCTCGGGCACGAGGAAGAGAGCCCGTGGGCGTGTAAGGCGAGGGCAGCGGTTGGAGGTGGCCCGAGAAGGGTGAGCCCAGACCTGTCCTCCGGCCCTCGGTCCGGCTGCCGACGTCCAGCACGCGGCCCCGTGTGAAATAAAACCCGTTCTGTGCTGTTGTCACGGTGCCGACGCGTGTCCACTTCTCTCGCAGGAAGATCGTGGCCGAGTACGAGAAGACCATCGCGCAGATGATAGGTGGGTGTCCTGCCCGGGGGCTCCACTGGTCTCCTCAGTCGGGCATCCCTGGCTCTGCCCCGGCCGAGGGCCTGGGGCCTCCTGGACACACCTGCCGGAGGCCCCTCACCCTTACGCAGGCCCGTGGGGGCCGTGGCGTCACCTCGATGGCCATTGCGGGACCGGCCCGACGGCCCACCTCCTGGGGAAGGGATTCGGGTTGGTTCCTGGGATGTTTGGGCTTTTGCTCCTGGGAGAGACGAGGAATCCAGTCTAAATCCCGAGGTCGCTTAGCCTCACCTGCCCCTTGGCCTCACCCGGGGCCTGGCCAGGCTGGGGGAGCTGTGGCCGCCTGCCCATGGCTTCCCTCCTGATGTGGGCGCCTGGTATCTGACCAACACTTTCTCTCTCGCCCGGCACGGCCGCGCCTCCAGGGCGTCCCAGCACAGCCTCCCGGCAGCCAGCGCCGTGGGCCGCGTCGGCCTGCGAGGAGCCAGGCCCCGGTGTGAGCTGCACCGGCTGGTCTGTGTCCTCATTAACGAGGGGAGGTCTGCAGAAGCTCCAAGCCCAGTGTCTACACGAGTGGTCACTTCTCGAGGGGGTTGTTTTGTGTTTGTTTATTTATTGGCTTAGGTCCATGTTACCAGTTTTTAAAACAATCTTTCCCACCCTGGCCGGTGGTTCAGTGGTTGAGCGTCCGCCCCCCCCACCGAAGGGTCTCGGGTTTGATTCCCGGTCAAGGGCACAGACCTCAGTTGCAGGCTCGATCCCCAGCCCGGTCGGGGCACGTGTGGGAGGCAACCAATAAATGTGTCTCTCTCACATCGATGTTTCTCTGTCTCTCCTCCTCCCTTCACTCTCTTACAAAATCAATTGAAAAACATCCTTGGGTGAGGAGTAACAAAACGTAAAAGTCATTTCCTCCTGCGGACGTGGAGTGACCCGCTCCCCGCGCACCACCGTCCCTGTCCACGCGGACTCTGACCTCTCCCTCAGCGTCTGGGTGTCATTCACGCCGCAGCCCACGCCTCCCCGGGGTCACCGTCAGAGGAGCTGGGGCGATGGCCAGGCTGACGGTGCGCATTCCGGTTGAAGGAGCTGTAGTTTGGGTTTATTGTAGGAAAGGCCGTTTCTCCCGCAGCTGGGGGGGGGCCGGGGGGGGGGACTGGGGGAGGGGCCTTGTGGGTATTTCTAGGCTCTGCCCGCGGTGCCCGCTTTCTATCAGATGAAGCCTGTTTATGCGACTGGAGGGAGCATTTACGAATCCGTGTGGATGGGATAAAGCACAGGCCTCTGCACTGAAACTGCTGGTGAACGGGCCGGGTGAGGGTTCACGCCTCCCGGTGCCCGGCCGCTGGGCACAGCCTCCAGCCCCAATCGGGATGGGAAGGCGGCTCTAGGCCCCACGGGTCACGCCTTCTTCTGCTCTTGGGGTGACGTGGAGGCCAGTGTTGAGCTGGGGGGAGGCCGCTCAGCCATCTTTTATTGCTTAGCTGCTTGTTGTTTTTTTTTAGATTTTTAAAATTGATTTAAAGAGAGAGAAGAGAGGGAGAGAGAAACATCACTGATGAGAGAGAATCATGGGCCGGCCGCCTCCTGCACGCCCAGCTGTGCCCTGACCGGGAATCGAACCGTTCACCCTTCGCTGCACAGGCGGCACCCACCACGAGAGCCCCGTGTCCTCCTGGGCAGCATCGTCGGGGGTGGGTCTCGCCGTGTCCCTTCCTCACGCCTGTCCTCGCTCCCCCACGGGCAGCCCCCTTCGTCCCTCACCTTCCAGAGCTGGTGTCCCGTCTCAGGGAGGCGGCCGTCTGTGCTGTCCCATGTCCCTCTGCCCCAGGCCACTGACCAGGGCCCTGGACCCCCCGACCCTCGTGTGCTGGCAGGAGACGAGGACGGAGGGCTGAGGCTCCGGCCGGCCACGCGTCTCCCCGCGGGGGGAGCCCACACCCACGGTGGCATCTGGTTCCATGTTGTCTCCTCGCTTGCGCTCACCTGACCAGCACTGCTCCTGGAGGGGCAGCGGGTCCAGAGAGCAGAGTCGCGTCCTGAGTTAAACCAGCTCCCATACACCACCCCCACCCTCCCCCCGCTGGCCCTTTCCGGGCTGGCCCCAGTTTAACGGTCCCGGGGGCTGCACCCCCCCCCATCGGTCCCTCCATCCTGCTGTCCCCGCCGTGTGCTCCCACAGGGGTGCCCGGGCTCGGGGTGGGGGCTGGGGTTCAGGGCGGGAGGAGCCTCCTCGCCTGCCTTGGGGGTGCACTCGGGGTTGCTTTTCTAACTGCCCTGACCATGTTTTGCTTCCGTTTTCTGTTGCTTCTGCCCTTTGCTTGCAAACCGCACAGGCAAGCCCGGTGAGTACGCGCTTCCCCGACGTGACGCCCCTGCACCCCGTGTCCGCTTTCCCGCGTTCGTTCCTTTTGCTTCTGCGTGTTGGCTGCGTGTCCCCCCCCCCCCCTCCCCCCGGTTTCATCGCGTTTTGCCTGGAAAAAGCCAGAGGGTGTCCGGGGACGGGGTTGGGGGCAGAGTCCCGGGTTGGGGGCTGGTTTTCTGATCTGAGGAGTGGGCGCTGCACTTGTAGGACAAGACGGGGGGCGTTCCTGCTGCCTGGGCCTCCCTGAGCCGGAGGTTCTGCTTTTATGAGGGGCGGGTGGGGGGAGGGAACCTGGAAATCTGGGCCCCGCTGTGATAAGCTCCCCACCCAAGGCCCGTGCAGTGTCCACACGCCTCACAGCAGCCGGCACGGGTGCTGGACGGGGCGCGGGGACCCCGGCTTTGAGGCCACTGAACTCAAAGAGTGAGAAGCACGCGGCTGCTGGCGACTCGGGAAACGCCTTTCCCTGCGTCTCCGCGTCGGGAGCAGGTCGCTGGCGGCTCTGCTCTGGCTACATGTTCGCTCCCCTTCCTGGGTCCCGGCCCCCGACATGGCGCTGGCGCCGGGGCGGTGATGCCGTCGGGCCCTGAGCGGGTTCTCGGGGTCGGAGGCCTCGTGCGTGTCTGGTTTACTCGTCCCCGGGGCCGGGAGGGAAGCGATCCCTTCTCCGGGAAGGAGGCTGAGACTGAGGCTGGGGCCCGGCCGGGGTCACAGCGGGAATTAGTGGCACCCGGGGGGGCCCGACTCTGCGGCTCTTCACTGCCCCGCGGGGTGGGCGCCCCGAGGCCGGGCCAGAGGGGACATCGGGCACCTTCCGGGCCTGGGGTCCCTCGGGTGTGCTCCCCCCCTGGGGACGTGCCACAGACAGACATGCCAATTCTCCCCCCCCTCCCCATGGTCTTAGGTGCATAACGGAGACTCGTTCTGACGGGAGTAGCTCCCTGAGAGGCTTTCAGAGAAGCGAACTTCGTCTCTTTATCTCTTAAAATATGTCTGTATTGATGTCAGAGAGGAAGGGGGGACGAGGAGAGAGAGAAACATGGATGATGAGAGAGAATCATGGATCGGCCACCTCCTGCACGCCCCCCACTGGGGAGGGAGCCCACAACCGGGCCTGTGCCCTGGCGGGAATCGAACCCTGACCTCCTGGGTCATAGGTTGAGGCTCAGCCCCTGAGCCCCGCCGGCCGGGCTGTCTCTGTATCGTGACCACACTCAGGAGGGCCCGCCCCCCCCCCGTCCCTTCCCCCGCCCCCCTCCCCCCCAGCCCCCCCCCCTCCCCAGCCCCCCCCCCCCAGCCCAGACTGCGGACCCGTCACTCTTGCCCAACGCACTGCCCAGGGGGACGGTGTCTCTCTAACCGGTGGGGCCGTTGGAACCACTGGCGTCTCCTCCGTAGATTTCCCCATCAGCGCAAAGAACGGCGGCCAACACCCCCCCCCACCCCCCTCCCCCGTGTGATACTGCGCCCGTCCAGGCCCGGAGGCAGGGCCCTGGGGTTGGCTCCTGGAGAGTCTGGGGGCTCAGAACGGGGTCTCGCTGAGTCCGAGCTGCCCGCTGGTGAGGCTGCGGCCTTGGCGCCGACACCAGGCTCGGTCCCGTGGGCCCCATGGCTTCGTGCTCTCTCCCGCCAGAGGACGAGCAGCGGGAGAAGTCGGTCTCCCACCAAACGGTGCAGCAGCTGGTGCTGGAGAAGGAGCAGGCCCTGGCCGACCTGAACTCCGTGGAGAAGTCCCTGGCCGACCTCTTCCGGAGATACGAGAAGATGAAGGAGGTGCTGGAGGGCTTCCGCAAGGTGCGTGCGCGGTCGGGGAGGGCGGGTGGGGGCGGGGGAGTCGGATTGGCCGTCTGAGTTACGCCCTCGTCAGAGTTCCTGGGGTTCCCAGCGGCATTTCCTCCGTGGGCTCGAGATGGAACCAGGCTCAGAGAGGGTGTGTCACTTGCCCGAGGTCACACAGCTAGAGCTGGGATGTAGATAGATTATTTTGGCTCCCAGTCATTTCTCAGGGGGACCCACAGGCCTGAAGGGCCTCCTGTCCCTTAAAACGCCATGCCGCCCAGCCGGCGTGGCTCAGCGGCTGAGCGTCGGCTCTGTCGCGGCAGAATGAAGAGGTGCTGAAGAAGTGCGCCCAGGAGTACCTGTCCCGCGTGAAGAAGGAGGAGCAGAGGTACCAGGCCCTGAAGGTGCACGCGGAGGAGAAGCTGGACAGGTAACGGGGGGCCCGACACGGGCCAGGTCGGGGTGCGTTGCTCAGCACAGTCCAGCATGGCTCGTGATAAGCTGGCACCCAGCGTGGGCTGTGAGAAGCAAAGGGTGCGTCCGGGGCGCCCACCAAAGCCCCTCGGCTTCGGGACAGCGGGGTCGGGACGGGGTGTCTCGTGGGCCCCATGCTGGGCCTTTGTAGGTGGGAGCTGGAGCCAGACGGTCCCCCTGCCTGGTTGGGAGAAGGGAGGGGGCGGCCGAAACGGGGGAGGGTGGTCGTCCTGAGTGCCCCCACCCCGCAGGGCCAACGCTGAGATTGCCCAGGTCCGGGGCAAGGCCCAGCAGGAGCAGGCCGCCTACCAGGCCAGCCTGCGGAAGGAGCAGCTGCGGGTGGACGCCCTGGAGAGGACGCTGGAGCAGAAGGTAACGGGCCGGGGGCGTGGCCTCCAGCGGGCAGGCCGGCCAGACCCCGGGGTCACTGGGTTGAGGAACTGTCCGTTTTCAGCCTCATTTAATTCTCGGAAAGGGAGACGTGGTCATCCACCTCTTAGAGAGGGAACCAGGCTCAGAGAGGGTGTGTCTTTTGCCCAAGGCCACACAGCTAGAGCGGGGATGTAGAAAACTGGGCTCTCACTCATTTCTCAGGGGGACCAAGAGGTCGGAAGGTCTCTTAAAATCCAATGACCGCCTGGCGTGGCTTGGATTGAGCGTTGACTGTGAACCAGGAGGTCGCGGTTGAATTCCCGGTCAGGGCACAGGCCCGGGTTGTGGGCTCCATCCCCAGTGTGGGGCGTGCAGGAGGCAGCCGGTCCATGATTCTCTCTCATCATTGATGTTTCTCTCTCCTTCTCCCTTCCTCTCTGAAACCAATAAAAACTTTTTTTAATTTAATTACCATTCTGCTTGGCTTGACTTCAAACAACCAAGAGGTTTCAACAGCCTTTTTATTTTCCGTCTTCACTTGCAGAATAAAGAGATCGAAGAACTCACCAAGATTTGCGATGAACTGATTGCCAAAATGGGGAAAAGCTAACTTTGAACCAAACGTTTGGACTGGACTGTTGCGTGCAACATGCCCGTCGGCACCCTGCTGTGCTCCCAGGCCGGGACAGGCACTCCCGCTGCTGCGTCCGCACGGCCTTCCCTCGCTCAGCCCGGGACGTGGTCGTCCGCAGTGCGAAGGGGCCGTCCGCAGTGCGAAGGGACCGGCGGAATTTCTTGCTGTGGGTTTGCGTTTTTCCGGGATCGTTCAGAGCAAGTTGACCTCGGAGTTCCCGCATCAGGGAGGTGGTCCCCGTCTCTCACGAAGGACACAGCCTGACCTTGGCCGTGCCCTTTGACCCTGAGTTCCCAGGGCGAGTGGCTCTTGGATCTGACATAAGCACGTTCCGCTGCACAGGGACTCTTGCCTTAAGGATGTAACTTCATCTGCGTTTGCCGATTCGTTTTAATAAGAAAAGAACATGCATGTTTCGAACACAGTTCTCTATTGTAAATAAAAGGTTTTTCTTTGGATCTTGGCAACACGTGTGGCGAAGGTGGGTTTTCTGGGAGGGGCTGGGCCCGCTCGCCGCCCTTCGCGATCGTGGCCGCGGTGGTGAGTGGGAACCAAAGGGAGAGGCTGACCCGCGGCTTCAGGAACTCGGCGACGGGTGGGATTGGCCCGTGTCTCTGCTTTAGGGCCACGGTCTCGTGAGCGGCCGGAGGCTCCCAGCGCCGCGGCTGCTTTTCTCCTCCTTGAAAGTCACGTCCATTTTCAAAGTGGGAGGCCCATTGCAGACAGCCTTCCTTCCGTTAAGGTTCTGCCAGAATGGAACCCACACACCCAACACACACACCCAACATGCAACACACATACACACACACCCAACACAACCAACACGCAACACACACCCAACACACACACCCAACACACACACCCAACATGCAACACACATACACACACACCCAACACAACCAACACGCAACACACACCCAACCACACACACCCAACACAACACACACAACACACACACCACACACACACAACACACACCCCTTTGGGGCATAGGCTCTGGCCCCCGGGTAAGGGTGTGCCCGGGTCACACAGCAAAGCCAGTGGCATGGCTTTCAGTGAGGCACAGCTCTCCCATGTTTATGTAAATCTTCTAATCAAACCACATCTGGACCCGAGGTAGACCTAGACCCCCCAGGACACAGCGCTGGGAGGGGCCAAGGGGCCAAGAGGCCGAGAACCTCCGGGCCAGCCCCTCCCTTCACAGAGGAGGCCGGAGGCAGGGGCCGTTCTCGAGAACCTGCCAGGCCACCCCGTGCTGTGAGGAGTTGGGCACCACAAGAAAGTGGGGTGACCCAACCGCCCCCTAAGGAGGGAGGCTGAGGGGGTGCCTGGCCCCAGTGCGTGGCCGTGGTGGCTCTGAGGTGCACTGCCCGCAGCCCAGCTGTGCGGGCAGCTGTGCGGAGACCAGGCCGGAACAGGAACTCTCGGAATGTCCCTGAGTCGCCACGGCACCCACAGCACCCAGGAAGCCGAGGGCAGCACCCGCCGGAGCACGCGGCCCCTGCAGGGAAAACAGCCAGCCGGGCACCCGGTACCCCGAGCGCGCTAGGACCCAGCCTCGGGGGGTGGACAGCCCGCGACTCGGCCGATGCAGTGAGAGCGCCTCCGACGGACACGGACGAGCTCCCCTGTGGACGCACGCGGAGCAGTGAGTGTGGCTGCTCCTCTCCAGCCCTGAGAGCCCTCACTCCTCCTACTGGCGCTGTTTGGGGGGCCTGGGGGGTCCAGGCCGGAGGCAGAGGGGCTGGGAGCCCAGGGACCATCGCACTTAGCGGGTCTGTGATCGGCTGGGTCCCATCCTCGGGAAAAGGGAAGAACCTGGTTGTCTTTGCTTTGCTTTCTCGGAGCCCCTGTCCCTGCAGAGAACTGTCAGACTCCCGGTGCCCTTTCACAGGCCAGCCCGGCCGGCGAGCTCCGGGGTCCAGCTCAACCTATGAGCCAGGTCACAGTTTGATTCCCGGTCAGGGCACAGGCCCGGGCTGCGGGCTGGATCCCAGTGGGGGCCGTACAGGAGGCGGCCGGTCCATGATTCTCTCTCATCAATGATGTTTCTACCTCCCTACCTCTCCCTTCCTTTCTGAAAGCAATAAAAGTATATTTTTTATAAAAGAAAGAAAAGGGAAACTTTACCTGTTGTGTCTTCCAGGTGGTTCTCTCCCTTCCTGCCCCTGTGGAATCCTCGCTGTCGCTAGTGAAAATGTTGAATCAGGTGAGTGGTGGGCCTCTCCTGAGGGCAGCGTGGCAGGAGCCGTGGCCCCAAGGCTCCCGGGGGGCCAGTCTGTGCCTAGCGGCTGACTCTGCTGGGACGTGGGTCAGAGGGCTGGGTCCTGGGCTGATCACCACGTGGGGATCCCAATTCCACGTTCCCACCACCCACCACGCTCCAGGCACTAGACCAGGGCACGGCTCCCAGCCGTTTTATTTTATCATTTTTGTTATTTCAAAATACATTTTTTATTGATTTCAGAGAGGAAGGGAGAGGGAGAGAAAGAGAAGCATCAATGATAAGAGAGAATCATGGATCGGCCGCCTCCTGCACGCCCCCCACTGGGAATCGAGCCTGCAACTGGGGCCTGTGCCCCGACCGGGAATCGAACCCTGACCTCCTGGTTCACAGGTCAATGCTCAACCACTGAGCCAGCGGCCGGGCTCATTTTATCGTTTTTGCATCAGCACCGGCACCACATCCTCGTCCTCACCATCAGGTCATCTTCCCACTCACCGTACGAGGCCCAGGAGGCTCAGAGGCTAGCGCCCGCCCACGGCCACAGCACGCGTTGGAGGCAGTAAATGTGGACGCATGCTGCCACGTGGGTGGAGCCTGAAAACATGATGCTGAGTGAACGAGCCAGACACACCCCACACGATGTATTTACATAAAAATACCCAGGCCCGGCCGGCGTGGCTCAGTGGTAGAGCATCGACCTATAAACCAGGAGGTCAGGGTTCGATTCCGGTCAGGGCACAGGCCCAGGTTGCGGGCTCCATCCCCAGTGGGGGGTGTGCAGGAGGCAGCCGATCCATGATTCTCTCTCATCACTGATGATTCTGTCTCTCTCCCTTCCTCTCTGAAATCAATAAAAACATTAAAAATTGATAGCCAGAACAGCAGCCCTGCAGGAGCAGAAAGCAGATTGGTGGCTGCCAGGAGCTGGGGGCAGGGGCAGGGGGTCGGGGGACAGGGTTTCCTGTGGGGAATGAAAGTGTTCTGATTAGGGGTGCTGATGGCTGACAGCACTGTCACGCACTGAAGGCCACTCAACTGACACCGGGAAATGGACACGACGGTGGGTCTCTGTCTTGTGTATTTTATTTACCACAATTTACAAAATCCCAACGGCCGCTGGCCGGCCGCCTCCGCCTGGCCTCCCGGGATCACGCTGGGGTGAGGACTTGCAAAGCAGCTCCTGTGCCCGCCTCGGGGTTCTTCGGAGCCACGGGCAAAGGAACACCTTCTCCCGGACGCTCAGCCCCGGCACCTCCTGTCCCAGGTCCCCCATCCCTGGAACCGCCTACTGACAGACACTGATGGATTCGCCCTGCACAGAGGGCTCATGGGAAACCTGGCCACGTGGGCATTAACCGCAGTGGAGCGTGTCCTGGTTTGCTTCCGGCCGTGCCGTGTGGCAGGGCTGGCGTGCGTGTGCGATTGAGAAACCATTTTCTCTCTTGTCTCCCAAGAAGCACCGAGCTCGGCCGGAGCGCCAGATGGCCGGCTCGACCAACCGGTGGCGCCTCCCCAATGAGCCCTTCTCCCGGGACCTGCTGGCGCTGTCCCAGATGTGCAAGGCCATGTGCTTGGACGTGGACAACACGCTGCAGGCCCCGGCCCCGGACAGGTAGGGAGGCCGCGCCCGCGGAGGGCACGCCCCTGGAGTGACCCGCACTTCCGGGCAGGGCCCGTGGTGGCAGGTGGCCAGCAAGAGGCAGGGTGCCTGAGGGGCCGTCCCTCAGGGAGGGCAGCGCCATGGGACCCTCCTCTGAGAACACAGGGTGCTGATCGGCGGCAGAGAGAGACCAACCTGTTTTTCCAAGCTTTTTCTTTTCTTTTTTCTTATTATTGATTTCAGAGAGGAAGGGAGAGGGAGAGAGAGAGAAACATCCATGATGAGAGAGAATCATGGATGGGCTGCCTCCCGCACGCCCCCCACTGGGGATCGAGTCCACACCCTGCGCATGTGCCTGACTGGGACTCGAACCCTGACCTCCTGGTATGTAGGTCGACGCTCAGCCACTGAGCCAGGCCCTCCAGGTGCCTGAGACCTGATGTGCCCGGCGCCTGCCCTGGGCCATCAGCACCTGCGTCCCCGCCTGGCTGTGCCCCTGGGCAGCACCTGCCATGAGGAGCCGCTGCTCTGTCTGCTGAGCTCGTGGCCAGATGGCCCGTCCGCACCCACTGCCAGTCCCGCTGCGACGCCCCACACAGGGGCCTCCTGGACGCATCGGAGGAAAGCCCGGGCCGAGTGAGGGGCCAGCCCCGGCCGCACAGTGGCCCGCGTGCCACACGGTCTCAGGCAGCGAGGACGGCTCACAGGCGCCGTCTCCCACTAACGCTCCGTCAGCCTGGACCTAGGCAGTGATGGCGAACCTTCTGAGCTCGGCGTGCCAGCGTTTTGAAAAACCCTAACTGAACTCTGGGGCCGTGTCACATAGAGAAATTTTTTGATATTTGCAACCATAGTAAAACAAAGACTTACACTTTTGATACTTATTTTATCTATTTAAATGCCATTTAACAAAGAAAAACCAACCAAACAAATGAGTTCGCGTGTCACCTCTGACACGCGTGTCATAGGTTCGCCATCACTGGCCTAGGAGGAGCCTGGCCTGGAAACCGCAGAGCCAGCCCCACGCACGGTGCCTCTGGGCCGGCAGCCAGGGCCCCAGGCAGGGCCCCGACGCCCGCCATCTGGCATCTCTCCGCCCGCGATGACGGTGGTGTTTGCCAGGGCGGCTGAGCTCATGGGCATCGCCCATCATTTCCAAAGCCCATGGCTCTGTTTTGAGATCCGGGCCTGAACCCCTGACCTCAGCGGCTCTTCCCAGACGTGCGGCCGAGCCAGGGAGGGGTCAGAGCCAGGGCTCCCGTCGCACAAACAGCCGAGCCCCTCCTGCCTGCGGGGCCGCGTCACGGGCAGCCGGCCTCCCTGCGGGGAAAGGGCCACGCGTGTCCGGCCATGATCTGGACAAGGGTTCCGGCACCTGAGCCCCCTCCACGCACGGGGCCCACGGGGTTCCCGGGGTCGTGGAGAGCAGCACGGCGAAGGTGACGCCGACAGATGTGGTGGCCGAGGGCCCCTGGGCTGCCCGCTTCCCGGGCGCCGTCTCCGGGCCGGGGACATGCGACTCCGTCTGCTTCCTCCTGCTCAGCGGGCAGAGGGTCGTCTTTACGGAAATCATCTTCTGTCTGCGCATCGTCGATCCCTGACGCGTGTTTGCCGGCGTCCACGGGGCTGGGCCGGG